CCGCCCGGCAACCCCCTCGCCAGAAGGGCATTCGAAGCGAGAAGGAAGGGGGTCTCCCGCCCCGGAAGCGGGCCCCCCGCCCCCGGAAGGGCACCCGGGCTGGCACCCGGGCACGGGGCCCGCGCTGCGGCTTCCGCGGCGGCCCAGGGGCTTTCGCTTGGAGACGCCGGGTTTCCCGCTCCCCGCGGCCGTGCCCCGAAGCGCGGGGCTCTCGGACCTCCACCCCCAGGCGGTCCCCGAGCCGAGCGCCAGCATCGGGGAGGCTCCACGGGCGGCCGCGAGACGCTCAGGAGATGCTGTGCCGACATCCCAGCCCTGCGCGCGCCCGCTCCGACCCGCGCCTGCCGCTGCCCGCCCCGCGTCCGTCAGGCCGGTCCATCTGCCCGGGTCCTGTCACTCACCGGCCCGGCCCGGGCAGCGGGCGCCCACGGCTCCCCACGGGAGCTGGGCCCCCCGGGCCTCCAGGTTTCTGCCCGCCCCTGGCAGGCAGCGCAGGCGGCTGAGCCCCGCAGCAGCGGCCCCGCACCGGCCGCTCGGTCCAGCTCCCGGCGCTGCCCACTGGGTACGGATCAACAACAAGATGGCGGCCAGCCGAGGGGGCGGGGGCCGGGCGTCATAGTAACCAGGGCGGCAAAGAACCCGCCCCCGGCCGAGACTGTGCCCAATGAACAACCTCTTCGCCCGACACCCGGGGAGTGCTTCCCGCTGAAAGGCCAACCTGCCTGTCAATCAGAGTCAGCCCCCCGAGGCCCGAGCCGAACGCTCCGGCACGTGACTGTGACGGCACTGGGGGCGCATGCGTGCGGTTCCCGGGGTGGTTGGCGGCAGAGCTTTTGCGGGTGACTCCGAGGCCGTGGCGCCCTTGGCGTCTCTGCGTCCGCGACTCCGGTGCGGACCCGGCCGCGTCTCCCTGCGCGCACGCGGCGCGCCCGGGCCATGCCTGCTGGGCGCCGTTTGCTTTTCTTGGCCACGCCCCCGGGAAGGGAGGCGTTGCTGTCCCCGTGCACGGGCGAGGAAACTGAGGCGCAGAGGGGGAAGCGGGGCCAAGGTCACGCCACCTCTGCCCGGGGAGGCGCCGGGTTTAACGCCCATTCCCAGCGGCGTTCCCCGCTTTGGCCCCGAGTCCCGGGGTGCAGCCGGCAGTGCTGTCCCGAGCAGCGCCTGCCCCGCGCCCACGTTGCCCCTCCGTCTGGAGTCCAGTTCCCCGCACAGCCCCTGGCACCCCGCGGGCACTCTCCTCCTGCCCTGGGGTATCGTCCTGAGACCTTGTGACGGTCATGATAGGCCTCGGAGGCCGACTGCAGACCTGGGCTCCCACACGAGCACCTACCCCTGGGCTCAGCTTCGGGGCCCACAGCAAGTGCCCGGCCCAGCCAGCGCCATCTGTGGCCCAGGATGCCCGTCTGGCTCTAGAGATGAAGATTAATGAGCCCTCGGGGAAGCCCGCCTGCCACCACTGCCCACAGCAGCCTGCCTCGCGTGTCTGCCCCCGGGCGCTCGAGCTCCAACTCCCTCGCTTTAACGGGAGCTTTAACGGGAGCTCCTCGACCTGTGCTCCCCACAGGGCGCCCTGGCTGCTACCCACCGGGGGCACAGGGCTGGCTCAGGAAGGGAGGCCTTCCAGCCCCGGAGCGGACGCCGTCCACAGACTCGGTAGAGGGGAGGCTGAGAGCGTGGGGATACCCAGCCCGGAGCCTCCCCGGGCAGCAGCGCCTGCGGTGAGCTGGCAGTGTCCTGGGACCTAGGCCCGGCTGGGCCTGCACTGGGCCAGCCCTGCCCGCCGGCCTGGCCATGTGCAGCAGCTCAGCTCAGCACAGGGAGGGCTGAGGGCCAAGGAACCATGCGAGACATCCTGAAGAAATGGGAACGACCGCTCAGAAGAGGGAACCCTGCACGGACATCTGGTCACCGTTTCTATCCCGTACCTACCTGCCTCATTGCTGATGCTTCTCTCCTCTTT